CTTAAAAATAGCTATAAAACAATGACTAAAAGTCTAAAAGTAGGAAATTTTAGGTTTCATATGGGACAATTTTCTTACTGTTTTCTAAGCCAACTTTTTAACACAAATTTCTAATTCAAGAATTTTTTTTTACTAAAAAATTGTTTTAGAAAACATTAAGAAAGCTATCTTCAACGAAATATTAGGTTTCGTTTGGGACGACTTTCTTACTGTTTCTTAAAACAGCTTTTTAATATAAAAATTAATTTTTTTTGAAATAAAAAGCTACTTTAAGAAGCAATAAGAAAGTCATCCCAAACAAAACCTTAATATTCTAAAACACTAGTTTGATATTCAAATATTTCTTCAGTTATAGGAGTCATTAAATTTCAAAACTATTACCTTACAAACAAATTTAAAAGCCGCTTCAATTTTCATCCACAGCAAATTTTGGTCATCCATTTTATTTCTTCTAAAATTATCTTGTCCCTTCCTTACCTTATAGATAATTAATAAATTTAAAAATATGTAATAATTATGAAAATTAATGTCTGTTACATGCACCACATACTAAATTAGTTTTTATTCCTCTCAAGGACCCGCTTGAGTTTCCCTCCGTTGAATTTCATTTAACCTATTAATGTTTCGTTTAAGTGTCGGTTACCTAATATTGACTATTTCTTACAGGATTCACAATTTTCTTCATCTTCCTTTTTTACTCTTCGGCTTGCCCTAGCTTCCTCCGCTCACTCGTGTTGTCCGGTAGTTTCTCTCTCCAAATGTTTTGGTATCCTAAACTTCTTTAACATTTCATCTTATCGGCATTTAGGCTACTCGCATGTTTTTTTCTTCAATTATGACGGTGTTTTGAACTTCTAAAATGTTTATTCAATTAGGTTTATTTCGCCAATTATTTTAGTTTTCTAAACTTCTTTTGCTTTTTTCACTCTTTTGAAGATGAGCTCAACCGTCCAAACCGTACCTTTCAACAAAGAGTTCACTTCTCCGTAAGATAATGGTCGATTATGTTACCTTTCTCCATCATATATAATTGCTAAAACTATTCTCATATGTTTTTTCCTTTAGACCTTTCGTGGTTTGAATTCGTTTCTTGATCTCCACAACCTCGACTTCGAAGGATCTGTACTCTTTCGCTTTTCATATGAAATTTACTTTAGAAATATGCCAACTCCTAGAACAACTAATTGAGCTTCGATCTAAAATTTAATGTTTTTCTAGAACTCCCAAATAAAGTAGTTCTGACAATTGAAATTTAGTTTTGATAATATAATGCCTCTCCCCTTTTAGAAGGAACACACACTTTTCATTGTTTTCATTTTCTTGTGTGAGTATTTTTTTTTTCTCTTTTGTTGTATCTATTTTTCTTTTTTGGATTATTTTGCAAGATAGGTTTTGGTCAAGCAAGATTGTTTCTTTTTGAAATATTATGAGATGGAAGTGAAAATTAAAGATAGATTTGGGTTTTTGGTTGTGCGTGATTTCTGGTGGGTTGTCAAGTGTGTTTATGCTTTTATTCAGGAAAAATTGTTGATCATTTTGTAGAATGAGCTTTGTACTTATCATAGCCCTATTAAAGAATAGGTGTTCTGTTGTACTGCATGAAATTTAGGCTTTGTACTAGGAAACGATGAATCAAACTCTAAACGAGAAATATTTATAGGCTGAAATTAGGATGTCGAAAAAACAAGCGGAATTCCAAAAAATCATCTGATTGATTGTTATGACATATTAACATTGTTTCGAATTTCACTATGATTTTGACTGTTGAGCTTTTATAACTTTAATGTTTTAATGAGATTTATTTTAAAACATAATCAAATAACGGTAGAATTAATATAATATCACCTATAATTACCAAACCCATACATCTTATAATATCCGTTGCATAGCTTAATATTAAATTACATTGAACAACTTTAAAAATGGTATGGCAATTAACCTGTTGGTATTAATCAAGCCAACATTAGTCAAATATGGATAATTTTGTTATTACTTCCAATTGTACTCTTCAATGTTTGTTCTCCAAGTAACAAATCTAACAAGGAAATTATATGTCACAGCAAATTTATAGAATGTATGAAACTTAAAACAATTTTGAATCATGCTGCATGATGATATTGCCTATAAGAAACTACAATTTATGAATCCTCAAATTTCATTTTTTTCGTGTGAAGTGTTGGTGACATTCTTCGCAAATTCTTTTAAACAATCGCTATTCATATAATTTGAAAATTTGAAAGTTAAATGCATTTCACAACAAAATTTTAAAACAATCACTATTCAAATTATGCCATCGATCTCTATAATTTGAAGTGTTTATCTTTCAAAATTTTATTAATATAATACAATCATTCAACCTCATTCAAGAGCGGAATCGGCCTTAATTTTCACAGGGGGGGGGTGGTAAAAGTGTAGAGATTTCGCATATATGTCAGGGTCAAGGGGTAGGGCCCCCTGCGGGGGTTTCCAGGTGCAGCAGCACCCCCATAATAAATTTTCATTGTAAGTATATTTTTGGATTCTCTTTACTATTTCTCTTTGTATCTAGTTCATCGTTCCGTAATAATAACACATCTACACAATGTGTTTAATTATGCTATAGACAATTGCCTAAAGACCATAGTATTTTAAAACTTTTAGGGGTGGCCAATTGCCTAAACATTTTTTTAATAAAGACTAAAAAATAGATGACGGGGGATAATTACCTAAAATATCATATAATAAAATTTTTTAGGGGGCTTTAGGTAGATCCACCCCTGACCTCTTTCGCCCTATAGCTAATTTTTTCTTCTTTTTATATAATAAAATAAATTTTTTGTAATAATAATAATAATATATTAAAAAATAATAAAACTTAACTAAATTGGAGAAATGTGATACTCTTGAACAAAATTGATTATATATGAATAAGTTGTGGCTTAAGTCATAAATGTTTTAGTTTATGGTTTATGTTTGGGTTTAGTTATATTATTATGATGTATTTAATATGTCATATTCTAGCATTGATTTTGGAGAATATTATTATATGTGTTCCAAATCTCTTGCTCTTGCTTACAAGAACCTTACATTTATATGTTCATTGCGTATTAACTCCTTCCATTTGTAAGGAATTGTTATACTTTCTTGAAGTTTAAGTATTATCAATGATGCAGAGTGTTCGTTGCATATTGATTGATATGATTCGCGGATGTTCAACTTATTTTCTTTCCACCGAACGGTAGTTGATTGTGACAACCGAGTATATTAACTTGTACTTTGACATTAAGGACAAGGTGTGATCACATTCACTAATGACTTGTTTTCTCAATGCTTTCAAATTCCTTCAGGTAGACTGGCGAGATAATTTGACATTAGTATTATAGGTTTTATGTCGTTTGCACCATTTTCTTAATGAATCAACATATTCCAAAGTCTTTCTAATGAATCAACATACCCATTGTATCTTGCCTTGTGGTCTCTTACACTACATACTTCCTTATATTATGGATAAAACACCTCATTGCAAACTCTTTGATTCATGCTTATAGGCGAGTCATATTCACTAGGTGCTCCTTTCTATATGTGTATGCAACATATATATCCTTCACAAGTTAACCAACATCAGTGGTTTGCTTGATATCTTGTCCACGCCTTCTTTGCATTTGCTAGCCAGCATTAACCTTGTCGCATTGTGCATTCGTGGAAGGTTATGTAAGATGACCTTGTAATCTCCTCATTGCTTGCAAGCAAAATCTACTTGCAAGATCTTTGTCTTCAAAGATGGTTCAATATGTATGATGAATATGATACCATCATTTATTTGCATTCCAATCGAGGTATTAACCTTCATTAAAAAATTGGTGTCATTATTTAAATTAATTTCTTTATTGATCATTCATTTTATTTACATCTCAAATTGAAGTCAAGCCTAAATTCATTTGTGTCTAATTCCTTTCGGCACAAGTTTAGTTGATTGTTCAAATGGTTCAAGTCACATTCGGTTCGAATCCTTTATATTCAAGTTTGGTTGTTTAAATTTGTTTACATTCTGCTCAAATTCAAATTTAATTCAATTGAGTTCAATTCAAATTCTTTATTCAATTTGGTTTCAAGTTTCTTGTTATTCTAGTCTTATTCAGGCCCCCTCCATAGTTCAAGCTCACATCAAATTTGAGTCCTTGTTCAATTCAAGTTTAGTTCAAATTTGAATTTCCTCTTCATCACAAATTTCAGCAACCTCTCGGCGTCACATTTTGGGGAAACAACAGATGTCTCAACCTGCCAACCAAGGAAAAAAAGATGTGTATTGTGTCAGATGACACCGCAGCCATAGTCTTCATTCCCACCACACCAAGAAAGGCGTGTATGGGTCTTTGAATGTACCAGTTTGAAAGCATTATTCTTTCCCTCGCTCCGCTATGCTACATGAACGCTTAAGGGTACTTATAAGAGTTCCCGACACTCTACGAGAGCATGTACTGAGCACGCCCGTCCCATCGTAGGTGTTGCATCGGGTTCCCTTCCCATCACTCTAATAAAAACTTGTATATGTGATTTTTCGATGCGCCGCAAACAACGAAAATGAAATTTTAAGTGACTGCCCGTCATATCGCAAGCATCACAACAAACTTCCTCCCATCATGTTAAGAAAAACATGTATATGTCGTTGCTCGCTACACGACGATGGTGGTGTTGTAGATAGCACAAGGCTCGAGGTAAGATAAGCATTTACATAATGGTAACCAATTACAATTAAGAACAATTAATTATAATTAATAAAAATTAATTTTAATTAACTAAAAATAATTATAATTAATGTAAATTAATTAAGATTAAATAAAAAGTAATTATAATTAATAAAGATTAATTATAATTATCAAAAATTAATTATAATTAACTTAAATTAATTGTAATAAATACAAATTAATTATAATTAATAATAATTAGTTATACTTGATAAAATTAATTATAATTAACTTAAAGTAATTATAATTAACTAAAATTAATCTTAATTTGAAAAATTAATTAGTTGGCGATGCTTGGATGCATAAAAGAGAAACGCCAATTACTCGAGTAGCTTCATCTCTATTGTATGATGATAGACTTGGATCCACCAACTCCAATTCATGCTTCTGCTCGTACAAATGCCAAGCCTGAAACATAAGTATTAAGATCATGTTAGGTACCGCATTATGTTATAAGTTCAGATTTAGGCTTCCTTTGAATGATAGGTTAGTAGTTAATTTATAAGAAATGATCTGCAAAAATCATTGCCTACCCAATCGAGCAAGTAGCTTTTCTCTTCCTCAAGATCAAGGTCTGAATTAGGCCTTCCGCTGAGAACTTCAAGAGCAACAACTCCAAAACCGAATACATCTGCCTTTTCTGTTAAGTGTCCTCTCATAGCATATTCAGGTGCCAAATAACCTCTGCAAATATCATAATTTTGAATTCTAAATGATGCATAAAAATAATGAATAACTGAAATTTCAGTAAAAAAAATAAAAATTGTTAAAGATAAACATCAAATCCTTACATACATTGTGCCTGCAACTCTTGTGCTAATGTGAGTCCACTTATCATCATAAAGCTTTGCCAAACCAAAATCTGATATCTTTGGGGTAAGATTACCATCTAATAGAATGTTGCTAGATTTTACATCCCTGTGAATAATTCTCACTCTTGATTCCTCATGAAGATAGGCTAAGCCTCTTGCTACTCCCAAACAAATCTCAAAGCGTGTTTCCCAGTCAAGATGCAAATCCTTTTTCCCTGCAAAAAGAGACCAGTCAAATAAAGGAATTACTTAAATTGTTGCTCCAAGCTACTAGTTATTTCAAAACATACTGAAAATAGCTTGATCCAAGCTCTTATTTTCTAGGTACTCGTAAACCAAGAGTCTTTTGTCTCCCTCAATGCAACAACCATACAACTTAGCTAGATTACGATGTTGGACTGCTGATATAGTTGCTATTTCTGTCGTGAATTGTCTCTCCCCTTGTTGAGATGCTACTGATAGTTGCTTTACCGCTACCATTCTTCCATCATGTAGTTTACCCTTAGATGAAACAAATAAATCCATTTTACTATCAACTCTACAAGTCATATAGTTAATTTGCACAATATTAATGTAGTTGTACAAGGATGTTTGACAGTTTTAACAATATGCTTATATATTTTTAGGTGATAAGTAAATGCACTCTACTCTCATTTTGCTTTTTGAAAAGTAATGTCATATTTATTTTGCTAGTGAAACTCTTATGATATTGAAAGATAAAAATTATGATAAAATTAGACTTTTAAGAATAATTATGTGGTGAAATTAAATTTAACATTGTCATATATAGGCAAATCAGACCTTGAATACGGGCCCGAATCCTCCCTCTCCGAGAAAATTAGATTGGTTGAAATCCTCAGTAGCTGTTCTCAGTTCAGAATAGCTGAATGTATTTGGTATGGCACTCATTCCTGACAACTCTGTATTATTTGACATATTAAAATAGTCAAATTCAAAAGAAAATACAAACGTTATGCATTCATAAATAATAAAAAAAAATTAAATTCCTTAAAGAAGTTACCTTCATTATCTTTTTTAAGATTTTTTTGTTTATATTTCCACACTAGTATCACGAACACGGTAAGTCCCAAAACCACAACACCACATACAATCCCTACAACTTTACCTGTATTGTTATTTGATGAAGAGGAATGTGGGGGTTTGTTGCTCACAGATGGAATGAAGTCTGTAAACATCGATAGTAGTAAAATAATTTGGGAGTTTTTGAGGAAATTTTATTTAAAAGTTCATATAAAAATGCATACCATAAGGAGATACACTGATTGCAGAAATGGATGGCCCATAATATCCTGAACTACGAATAAAATGTGTACCCTTTCCTGCCCAAAATAAATGTATTTCTAGGAAGTTGTTTGTTACAGGAGCTTGGTACTCCTTCAAAACTACTGTAAAAGATTCCCCACCAGCTTCCTTTCTTATATCAAAGTCCTTCTCCTTAAGCTTGCCCTGAAATTATATATTTGATCCTGTTAGTTTCAAGTAGACTAGTATTTAGATATAAATATATATCACTACCATTTAAAAAGTATAAAGGTTAATTTTTAACCTTTTTTATATTGTTTACCTAATTTAACACTAACCAATTAAAACCAATTCACAATCTATAATTTTCTTTAAATTAATCAAGATCAATTGCTCCGTATCCTTTATTAGAATTCAAACAAGACATTCTCCATGAGTAATTTGCTTACCTGTATATAAATGTCAAAGACCCTTCTAGCTAAGCTTTCCCAAGTGGGTTGATCTGGTATTCCAATCTCAGAGAACTGTAGTTTTACCGTGTAATTCCCATTTTGAAGTCCCAAGCCATAGTATCTTAATGAGGATGGTGACGTCCTTGCAGTCTTAAACAATTTTGAATCAAGTGTGTTCTGGGATTGGATCTGAGAACTAATTATATAATTTGCATTAGGATTTGAGGCATCTATAAAGCTTCCAGAATTGCTTACTGCCCATTTTTTTACATTAGTCACAAAATAAGATGTTGCACCGAGATTAGCATTATCTATCTCGAAGTTAGTTCCATCAGAACTCGTCACATTTTCACCTCCACCGCAATTTATTGCAAATTGATAATCTACAAGTTCAAAATACTTTAAATATATTTTTATAGCTCATGAGGAGAAGAAAATGCATGAAGATGTGGAAAGCAACTTACAAGCTGGCAAGTCTCTATAGCATGGCATGTCTCTTTGAAGACACTCTAATCCTGAAGGTAAGACACTGAGAGTAAAATTATAGATAAATTTCAAGTTCTAGAATGAATCAAAATGAAATTTAACTTACACAAGAAGGCAAATGAAGGTAATTACCTGTTATTGGAATTGTCTATGATAAAGTTGTTGGCAACCAAGTTCCTATCACCAAAAAAAATAAATTTTAATTTTCGGCTTTCTTCTTGTTCGGAATGAAACAAAAGAATTAGTATAGGAAAGAACTATGAAGTGCTTAAAAAATTGTCAGTGCATTTAATTTAATACATATGTTAATTATTTATAATTGAAATCGATACTATTAATTATTCTTATATTTTATAATTACTGAGCATGCTCTCCATTATTATGTTTCGTGATTATTTTTTTTGTTTAGATATAAGCACATATATGCTTGTATTTAGATGATAATTTAATAAAGGTGTAGACCTCTATGATTCTTTCTTTCTTACAATATGATTTCATAGCTAAATATCTAGATCTACCACTTAAAGCCTCAAAATTCTAATACATATTGTAGTGTAAACTTGGTTATTTATCTTCCACTTCACAAATAGACCGCTCTCATAGTTTTTGATCTTCATCATTGACCACTGGAAAACTTAGCCCCCTCAATTTCATGTAGGTCTATAAAGCTATGTGATATCCTTGGTTCTCCAATAATAATAGCAATGTCGACTCTTTGTTGACACTTTCCATTAGGAACACCATCGATACTCTATACTACTATGCCTCCAAGGATCTTGCACGTGCCTTCATTGGCACAGGTCTCGTTGTCAATTCTTTGTTTTCAATAAAGGTTACTCTGTCTTTTATTGAATAATCGTACTCTAACAACAATTACAACCTTTGTGCAACAAAACCTTTTGACTATTTCATCTTTTGTCACTATTATTGATGTGAAACAATCAAGGGAATTGCAAGAATTTAATAAGAAACTTGTTTAGTAATGAAATTATAGAATTAATGTTTCACTAAGTTAAGACTTTTAGTTTTCGTGGTTATCGACTTGCTTCAGGTATGCGGTTACACGCTAGATTAATAGGACAATCTGAAATAATAACAAGAAAATAGTAAAACAAATATGCGATTAACAATAATCCGTCACTTAACAAATAGAGCTTTCACCTTAGAGTTTCTCTCTCGATTGCTCATTGGAAGTAGGGTTAGCGGAGGAGGAATGTCAGCAATCCCAGTGATGCCACTGAAAGACAGAGGATGTCGTTGGATTTGATCCACGGGAAGTTGGCTGGAGTTGGAGAGACGGGTGGTCGTCCGGTGATCTTTCATTGTCCTGTAGGTCGTTGTTCGTCGATGATGTCCGCCAAATGGACGAGAATACGCTCAACGTATTCCTCGACAGGGCTTTCGGATCCAAATCCGGGGTCGAAGAAGGGTGATTGAATGACGTCAATTTCCCCTTGAGAATTGTTGGCAAATCCGTGATTAACTTCCGAATTTGCCATCCATGAGCTTGAGATTATTCGTGTGGTGTTCTTTGGTGGAGCCGCTGGTTGGGAGAGGTGGAGAGGGGTGGCAGAGAGAGGGGAGCCGACGGGTAAGGAGGAGGGGAAAGGAGAGGGCGGGTAGAGTAGGGGAAATTAGGTTATTAAATCCTCTCTGAAATTAATTACCAAGGAAGGTAATCCCATTAAGAGAATTAATTGAGGGTGGAGGGAAGGATAGAATTCAAATTTTGAATTCAAAATTTGGGCATAGAGGGGGGAGGGGGGGGTTATGGATGAGGGTGGGGGAAATTGGGAGGGGAATTAATACTTCCTAATTCATTGGCTCACTTTGGGAAAAAGGATAAATAATTCAAATCTAATTTAATATTAAATTAGACTTTAATTGAAAACTTTCCTAATTTGAAAAGGCTAATTTAGGAAAGTATTTGAAATTCAAATTGGATTAAATTCTCTCCCGAAATAAGTGGGCTAATTAAGGTAATTGTTAATGATGATTAAAATCATCATCAAGAGGGCAAGGGTGAGGTGGTCGACGGTGGAGCGAGGGGATGGGGGGAAAAGGTGGCGGCTTGAAGGTTAATCAAGGAGTGTGGAGGGGCCGGCGGGCTAGAGGGTGGGCGTGAGTGGCCGACTGGTGGTGGGTGGGGTGGAGTTGGCCGGCGGCTTAGGAGGAGAGGAGATGGCGGCGGTGGGGCTAGGGGAAAGGGAAGAGAAAAAGAAAACATGAAACTAACCACGAGTCCTGGCTCCTACCGGCGGCTGGTGGGTGATACTTGGCCCTATTTTAGGTATCACTTCTCTCATGAACTCACAAATAGATCCAATGGCAAAATTTTGAAATTTCATTCGTCAAAATCATCATTAGAAAATAATACAATGACCATGCCTTAATATATAGGCCTCCAAAACACAAAAAATTGTAAAAGACACAAATGCCTTCAGGCTACAACATGATTTAAATTCCTCATAGGGGTACAAGTGAAAAACTGAAAAAAAAAAATAAAAGAAATGCACTAAAATATCCTAAATAGAGACTATGAATCGTATCCGTCGATCTACGATTCCGCCGATGATAAGTACGTCGAAATCTCCGGTGGATGTCCTCATCAGTTATTTTCAAATGCAAGTTAATAGCCTTTATCTCACCTTAAATTTGCATGTAAATGTTATATTTAAATCATCACTTGTTTAAACTATTTATTGTAGGAATATGCACGATTTATTATTAACATATTTAATCATTATTGAAGAGATTATCATTTATTTTATCTTCTTTTATTCTTCTCTTATGTATCCTATTTATAGTCATATACATATTTGTACTAAGATGGCAATACCAATGGAACTCCAACCCCTCCCCTAAATTGACATCTTTGCAAGCACATAAAGAGAAGAGTTGGTGGAATGGTATGATTGGATATTTATGATTAAAAAATATTGCAATTACTAAATAAGAAAATATAAAATTTTTCTACGACTTACAACACTAAGTTTGGATCGTTGACCCAGTTTGGAAAGCTCCCTGACAATTGATTGTATGATAGATCTCTGTAGGAGTTTAAAGGAACTGATATTTAGTTGAAAGTCTTAAATTTCATCAACGAGCATAACATGATAAGATTTGTTTCTATAATAAGAAAATTTTCCAGCTAATATAATAGGGAGAAACTTACATCGTAAGTGACTTGCATACTTACATATTACTCAGTGTTGAGATCTTTGTTCTAGGTAAGGTGCCTGTTATGCTATTATTCCCAAGGAATCTGTTGAGGGTGATAATAGAGAAAAAAAATATAAATTATGCTTGTAATAGTAAAAAATTTAAGTGAAACATGGGACGCTGAAATAGTAATTTCGTACAAGTAGTTTAGAGAGCTCAGACTAAGTAGAGACAGTGGAATATTGCCTGTGATGTTGTTGAAGCTCAAATCCCTTTATAGAGAAAAATTCAAGTTGCAGCCAAGTAACAAATGCTACATCATTTTCATTTTGAAGTAAAAAAAAAACATAATAGAGGAAAAGGTATTAAAGCACTTACAATGTCACTAAACTTTTATAATATGCAAAGTCAAAGATTGATTGAAGAGTATCACAAATCTTGGCATTCCTTAAGATTCTGCATAGAGTTAAATTTATACCATGCCATAGTTATGCACCAAGTTATAAAAAAAAACATGAAGAGAGTAGATTGCCGATTAGAAACAATAAGCCTTACAGTATGTTTAGATTTGTCATATTCCCAAGAAATTCCAGTGATGAACACCCATTTATTAAGTCTCCTATGCGTCTAGAATAGAGCATTCAATATTTCTTATTATATAAATGTTCAATAAAAGATGAAATTATTAGGTGAAAAAAATGCACTTGTGAACAATTAATCATGAGGCTATAAACAACTATATAATCACTTAGTTGACGGTTGGTAGGCTTTATCATAAAAACTTTTTTTCTAGTATTAGTTTAAAGGAGGAAGCTTACAAATCATTAAGATTGAAGAGATTGAAAAAACTTGAAGGAATTGGACCACTGATGGAGTTCCCTTGTATCCTCCTATCGAAACATCATATAGAAGTGAGCACCTCTAATTTATTTTCTAGAAATTTGTCTGTATGCAATTCTAGTCATGGATGATAAATTTGGCTTATATATATCATGAGAGCTATAAAGGGTATTCTTACAAAACTTTTAGGTTTGACCAAGTTCCTATGAAGTCTGGTAATTTGCCTGTAAAATTATTGCCTGACATCATCCTGGATTAATTATAACTATTATATCAGAAGCAAATTTTCTAAACTCAAATTTTCAGTATATATAGAACTTACAATGTCTGCATGGCCGTAAGATTGGATAGAGAAGTTGGAAGCTCACCACTTAGTCCAGAACTAGTCATGTACCTGAGAATTGAACAATAAATCAGATATAAGCTTAGAAAACAAAAGACTGTAACATATGATATCCCCTACTACTAACAAAAAGAGCAGACAAAAAACATTTGATTTCATTCTCGCAAGTAGTTGTATTATAGAGTTAGGATTATTTAACCATTGTTGTAGGTTCCTAAGGCTTCCCAGCTCAGCTGGAAGAGTTCCACTGAAGTTGTTTGGCCCCAATCCTCTGCCAAAATATAAGATAAAATAAATCAAACGGTCCTTATCATTATCTCCATAACATAGAATTCCATGAAGAAAAAAATTTCCATCATAAAGATTGAAGAACTTTGAAGACTTTGTTTTTCATGATAGAAGTATTTACCTTTTTTATGGTAGAGATGGATGAAGACAAGAAGTTCTAATAGAATTCTTTAGGTATATTCTTATAAGATTTTTGTCACTAAGGGGCTATTTACTTGCAAGATTTAGCGGAAAAAAAAAACTAGGATTTCAGCTAAATTTTGTCAGTTAGTTCTTTTAACAGTGTAAATCCTCTCAAATCCCAATTTCATTCTATTGTAGGCTAAATGTAGGATATTTATTCTATTTCTCTTTGCTATATATGCCAAATAGTTTACTAAGATTTGATGAAATTAACAACATCTATTGTTCAAATAATTTTCAGTATTTAATGTCTCTAGGACTTATTAAATTTGGATTTACAATATTTAGTAAATCTTAATTGAAGTTAGAAAAAAAAAAAAGAGTTAAATCCTTCTTGCTACTAAACAACCCCAAGTCTATCTTTATTGTAGAAGTGTTGACCTCTACTAAAAGCCAAAATTAAATCAACATCATCAATATATATATACACTACTACTACTACTACTACTACTAGGGCTTGAGTTTACTTCCATATCAAATCTCTTAGCCATCCATTTTATTTCTTTTAAAATTATCTTGTCTCTTCTTTTTGTTATAAATAATTAATAAATACTACTATTATAAGCATCTTTTGTGAGTCTCCCAATGGACCATCCTAATCTTTCATTTGAAAATGTTAAATGAATTCCCACGTTTTTTTTTACTATTCGATTGTAATAAAATTAAAGATTGTCTCATTGACTGCTGCCGAGCATTTAAGCATGGAGCAGTTAAAAAAAAATATTTACAGACTTCAATACTCAAGTCTTTATATCCAATGAAATTCTAAATCATTTAATTTTTTAAATTAAAATAAATCTTTACCGTCCTTATAATTTCGCGCCCCTTCGGATCCTAGTTAAGGCTTTGCGTGAAGATGATTTTGAAATATTCGTTGCTTCTTCACCTTCGTTGTTCCTATCGCAGTCGCCGCTCCTTTGCCTTCGTTGTTCCTGTTGGCTCGGAAGTTGCATTGGGAGTTCCCTGCAAAGGTAACGTTCTTTTTCAAGTTTTCGTTGTTCTTGTTAGCTCAGAAGTCACGATCGCAGTTCACTCTGACATAACACTTTCCGAAACATCCCAAACGAACCCTAAGCCTCTTCAGATCGCCTATTTATTTTCCTCATGTTTGCAGCAGTAACATTATTTATTCATATTCTCTACTTCCTCTCTTCAGCGGTGGCCTCACTTTTGGGCTTAACGAGAAGACTTCGATATCGTCTTGTTCAATCTGAACTTCCTCTTGTTTTGCAGATCCAGGTGAGTTTTTCACCCCATTGTTTTGTTCTATAAAGTTTGATGAATTTTGGGAAATGATTGTATGAAGTTTAAAATTTTCACATAGATGGCATCATAGGTACTTAGATATTTTCTTCTCCGTTGTCAATTGTCTTCTTTCCGTCCCATTCTATATCGGATTCATCCTTATTCTCGTCTGGCTATGCCTTGTTCTTTCTTGCTTTTTTTTCTCTTGTGTGTGAGATGATTGATTGAGATGTTGGTTTTGGGGTTTTTTGTGGTGTGGGCATAGCAAATTGGGGAGCCATGTGACTTTTCATATGGATTTCTGTTATTATATTAAGATTGCTATTAAGGTAATATTATGAGATAATCCTCTTCTTGATTTTTTTGATGAATCTATTATAATAGTGATATATACTCTTATGGTAATAAGTTTTGTACATTACATTTAACAAAGAAAATGAGAACAATCTATTGAGTGAGAGAGTGTATCTAGATATTTGTTCATTTTTATAAATTTTTTATATAAAAATTGCTTACTGGTTACTTTTGGGCTTAGCTTTCTTGCTTTGCAATCTACTTTTCTTTGATGTTTGTGATGCTTTTTATTTCTTATATTAATGGCATGTCATACAATTTGTTCCAAAAAGGTTGCTAATTTTTTAGGCCCAACAAATACTTATCGTTTTTAAACAGGATTTTTTATTTGAGATAATTTTATACTTGTGTTGTTTTTCTGTAGAATCAATTTATATGTATGATTTTTTAATTTATTTTGCTTTTTTATTCACTGGCTTTTTGTTGTTGTTCTGTACAATCAGTTTTTTAAGCAGTTGATTTTGATATTTTTAAATTTGATATTATTTTTTTAGACATTGTATGATCTTTTTTATAAGATAGAAATATAAACTTTCCTACAGACCATTTTCTTTTTCTTAATAGGTGTGTAGAAGAATCATGTAGATATATTCATTTAAAAAAAAAAAATGTAGATATATTCATTTTGAATACTTGAAGTTTTAAGGAGTTGCCATTGAATTATTTTTATCTGTTAACAAGTCAAATGTTGATTGATCTTTTTAATCAGTATATTCATATGAAAAGTCTTATGTAAATGTGTCATAATAGAAAGTTTGATACGGTAAAATTTGAGTACGGAATGCAATAATTTGGATTATTTAAAGGTAATGAATTCTAAGTTTAGATATTTAAGCATTTGAATTATAGATGTGGAAAGTATGGTCAATATGAACTATAAAAGGGTCATGGTCGTCAATTTATGCGGAGTTCTCATTTCTCTCATTTCCTATCTTGAGTGAAAAGAAGGGTCTACTGTGAACTCAATCCTCTGTCAGCATGCATATAGAGTCAACAATATTCAATTAATAAAATATAATTGCCCATAAAACCTCGATGATGGTCATTTTGAAAATATATTGCTAGAGTTTGAACTTTCTCGCAACGGCATTTTAAAATGAGAGAGAACTGAACTGTAAAAATCCAACAAGGTGCAATACCACAAGGTGCAATACCACTACAGACATGCTAAATTCATAGATACTAAAAAGCATTGTTGTTGTGAAGGTCTTGAGGATATTATACATCTCTATGATTATGCTATTGCGGTAGTTCCACTACTCTGTCTCCATTGTCCCTTTGCAACAGGTTTGGTACCTTAATTGATGTTTTTTCTTTACTTTTCTTTTGGATAATCTATCTTAGATCTCAAAGATGCTTGCAATTTTATGTATTTCTAACTCATAGTTTTATTTTTGCTGCCATTTAGCTTGATAAAAGAAATTAGATAACTCTGGTTGTGTAAATTAAAAGATAAAAGAATAATTCTTTTAAATTAGATTCTGGGGCATTACAATAGTAATGGGATAAGCTAACTGGTTGCATTCTCTTAATAAATTTAATGTTCTTAAAGATGATGAATCTTTTGAGGTTGTGACTGCTTGGTCCCCAATGCTATTGTTCAAGGAACCTTTACTACTCGTGCTAAGGGGTCTAAGAAGGGATCCAAAAATAAACATAAAGCTTAATGTTCAAACCTAACTTGGCTGTTTGGAATGTTCATAGTTTTAATAGCCTTGAAAAAGTTTTGATGTGCAAAAACTTTGTTACTTCTCATATTCTAGATTTACTTTGTATTTTGGAAGTTAAGGTTTCTCATGGAACTATTAATGATTATTGGTTTTCTTCTTCTCATAGAATGTTCATTTCAGAGAATAGTTGCAATAATTTAATTTTTGCTCCCCTGGCCATATCTGGATTAAGTGGAATGTATGCATTGTTAATTTTATCCCTATTTGCATGCATAACAATATATTCATGGTGAAATATGGTTTAAGAATAATCATTTTTTTGTTATTTAATTTTTATTTATGCTGCTAATTCCCCCTAGGAACGAGATTTCCTTTGGCAAAAGCTTATTTGTATTAGTGTTGAAATTTATAAACCTTGGGAAATTTTAAGTGACTTTAATTGCTTCAGATTCCCTTATGATAAAGTTGGTAGCATTCTTGTGGATGGTATTAAATTGTGGATTTTGAGTAATATGATTTTTATTAATGATCTCCATGACTTGGCTTCCTCCAGGTTATTCTTCTCTTTGTTCAACCAAAGGCTAGATAATCCCATTCATATTAAATTAGATAGGGTGTTGGTGAATGATTTATAGCTTCGAAATTTTCCTTTGTATTCTTACAAAGTTGAAGGCCCATTTCTCTCTGACCATTCCCCTCTTATTATTGACTTCAATAATAGGGCGGATAATAATCACAGGTTCATGTTTAAAAATTATTAGATTAATTCCCATTATTTCTAGAATGCTCTCATTTCTATTCTCTTGTAACTTTAATGGTGCCCATATCAAAATTTGGTATAGCATTCTATCTAACCTTAAAATAATTTTTAAAATAAAAATTGGGCTTCTTCTACTCTCCTTTCCTCCAAAATCATTGATTTCAAAAAACAACAAGAGCAATGTTCGGATTTTCTTGATAGTAACCCCCCTGTCCCAATCTCTAAATTCTCAATTAAATTCTATTAATGATAGTCTTTTCTTCCACCTGGATTCCTTGGCCTCTTAGGTCATTCAAAGAGACAAAGCTAGGTGGTTAATTCATGGGGAGGATGACCTTAAATTTCTTTTCAACAAAATTATAGTGAGGCAAAATCAAAATGTCATTAAGACTATTTCTACTAAGGATGGGACCTTCTCTTCTTCTATTGAAATTAGTCATGCTTTGATTAATCACTTTATTAATTTTTTTTAATTCCACTCAAGTTTCTATTAATCAACCCAATATCCCTATTGGTTCCTCTATCCCCTCTAACCTCATCCCTAGCTTAATTTCACCTATCTCTATTGAAGAGATAAAAAGTGTTATTTTTTCTAGTCCTAACTGCTCTACCCTTGGCCATGATGGATACACCTTTGAATTTTATAAAAAATCTTGGCTTTTGATTGGGAATAGTGTCTGCATGGCCATTAAACATTTCGTTCACACCTCTTTCCTTCCTAAAAAGTTAAGGTCACTACTATTTTCCTTATCCCTAAAGGGCCCCATGCCAATCATACCAAAGACTATATACCCATTTATTTATGTAATACGTTCTACAAAATTATTACTAAGATTCTGGTTCTTAGGTTTAAATCTATTATGCATTATATCATTCATGCTAGTCAGTTGGGGTTTATTAATGGCAGGGTTGCTTCTGATAACATTATTCTAACCTCTGATATCCTCTTTAATTTTAATTCTATTGGTAAATAAAAATTCTTCTATGTTAAGATTGATATTTTTAAAGCTTTTGACACTATCTTTAGAAGTTTTCTGCTTCACAGAATGAGACAAAGGATTTCCAGAGATTTTTATATCTTTAATTAATGCTTACATTCAAGATGTTTCATTTTCTATTTGTTACAATGTTGGTCTTCATGGTGTCTTCAATTCCTCCTCTAGTTCGAGGCAGGGATGTCCCTTATCCCCTTATCTTTTTTGACTTATCATGGTTGCTTTTTCTAATCTTCATGATAATAATAATAATGGGCTCCACTGTTTTCAAGGTTTTAGTCATGTTAGATCTTTTATTTCTCATTTACTTTATGCTTACGATCTCCTTATATTTAAAAAGGTTTCTATGATTAAAGCGCTCAATTTAAATAACATTTTTCTTCAGTTTTATAATGCCTATGATCTTAGGATTAATTTTGATAAGAGTTCCATTTTTTTTTTCTCCAAAAACACCCCAAATTATATTGATATTGTTAATATTTCCTTAGTTGATAGCTTTGTAAGTTATCTTGGGACCCTCATTGCTTCTAGGAAGCTTAGAAAGGCATATTTCTCCCCTTTATTGCAGAAGATAACTAAAATGTTGGAGAGTTGGAAGGCAAAGCTTTTATCCTTTACTAGGAGAATTCAAATAAATAAATTTAGTATTTAGAACACTTTGTCCTATTGGATTAGAGGTTCTATTATGCCTAAATATTATTGTAAATTCATTGACAAATATTGTGCAAGATTTATTTTTCATTGGGACATTCAAGGTAAAAGGTTTTATCTTATCTCTTGGAGGAACAGTTGTATTCCAAAGAAAAAATGGAGGTCTTGGCATTCCCTCAATTGTTGCTTTAATTCATGCATTTTCATCTTCTTTGATTTGGAGATGTCTTTCTTTTAATTCCCTCAGTTGCTGGTTCAAAAACTCTTATACATCTTTTTGGAAACCTATTTTTGGTTAAGCTTCTGCTTGGTGGAAACACTTGGTTAAGGTCCCTATTTCTATTAAAAGCAATATTTCTTACAAGATTGGGGATGGAAATGGCATTACTCTTTGGTGGGATTCTTGGTGTAATGGTAATTCTATGGTTGATTTATGCCATGTTTCTATTATTAACTTACCTACTAATGTTACTATGATTGTTATTATTTCTAATAGAGTTTGGGATGTTCCTAATGCTTGGTCACCCTCCCTACATAACTCTATCTCTGCCATCTCTCTTAATTATGATGGGAGGGATCTCCCTCTTTGAAATAATATGAAAAATCCTAATTTTTAGAACTTTATTAATGATTTCTATAAATCCAATGATGAGGTTGACTGATATAAATATATTTGGCATAAAAGGTTTTGTTTGATGTTCTCTTCTTTTTCTTGTCTTACATTGGTTGGTGGGCTTAAAACTGCTGATCAACTTTACATTAGAGGCGTCCTTGCTAGCCCAATTTTGCCCTTTTTGTAACTGCAATGATGAATCTGTCTCCCCATTTATTTGACGAATGTGATTTCACTTTTAGCATTTTAAGTATTGCTTTTCCTGGATCTAGAATTTTTCTATTAAGGCAGAATATTTGTCAAGTTTTTAATTGCATTTTTGGGGACCGCAAATTAGCTTATATCTCCAAAAATTATTACTAATTGGTCATTTGTGCTTCCATCTACTATATTTGGAGAAAGGAATTGCAGAATGTATGGGGTCTCTCACTCTTGTATTAATTTTATATTAACTCTGTTAAGGAAAACAATTAAAGCTAAGTTTATTAGTTGAAAATATTTTGAAAGATTCTTAAGCTTATTATTCTAATTCCTTTTTTTGTTTTTTGTTTTTTTTTTTTAATTTGGAAATTATCTTTGTTGATGCCTTCTTCCTTCTGTGATGCTTTGTGTTACATGAGGGATTATCGATCGATTTTGTTGGGGAAGATCAGTGACAATCATCTCCCTTTTCTTGGGTTTATTCTTGATGTTATTGAATGATTGCTTGGATGCTTCGATTTGACTTTATTTCGTCCTCTACCTTGCCCCTGAGAGTTTCTCTTGGTTCTCAGCCTGTCAGGATGATGATGTGGGCTCCTTCCTTCATCCCCTGGATGGTTGCGGGCTTTGTTATGGCAACCTTAGATGTTGACTTAGTTTTTACGATTGTTGTTGTGTCGGTTTTGGCTATTTTGTGAATGTGGTGTATTTGGGCTATTTGGAATATGTTGAGGGGGTACTCTTTTGGCTCCCATGTGGTTTATTGTAGAGGTGTCAAAACAGGTCAATGGGTTAAGCTCGGGTCCAACTCGAGTTGACTCGGGTCCAAACAGGTTGACCCTAACCCGACCTGATTTTCCAAACGGGTTAGAATTTTCAATCGGGAGCCGACCCACGCTGGTTTCCGGGTTGACCCGACCCGACTGAGAACCTGAGATCAAAGGCACGACGTGGGAGGTTGAGTCTGATCGAGCTGCGAGCACGTGCTCCATGTTGCATTGATGGTTGCTACGAGCGAGCGTAGGGAGGTGTGTGCGAGACCTGATGCAAGGCCGACTGTCCGAGCCGCGAAGGCGTGCAGGGCAGCGACCACTAGCCAGCGGGTGCAGGACCATGGTCCGGTTTGTTGGTGTAGGACAGCTGACAACAGGAGCGGGAGTGCGGGACATCACATAGGATGCGATGCGGCCTGCGGGACGGACTCAGGACGACTGGATGTGCGCGGTCTGGCATGGATCGGTAGCACCCGGGTTAAACCCTAGTTGATTCTGAGTTGTCGGGTTAACTCGAACCCAACCTATATGGTAAATTAGTTGACTCAAACCCGGATTTTCTTGGGCCGAGTTTCAGGTCGGGTTGTGTTACTACTTTTTATTGTTTTCTCATAACTTTTCAGCAATATATAGTGAAAAGTTGCTTTCTGCAATTATATAATAGTGAAATTATTTTCCCTATAATAATTGTACACACAACTGAATAAAATGTTACAACCGTCTCAAATAAACTCATAAATTTTTGACATATGAATAAAATCTCAGCATGATTATCAAATATCAAGAAAAAAAAATTTAAACAAAAGGAAATCATAATTGTAAACAACTAATATAGAAAGAGAAAATATATAAAGGCAATAGAGCAACTTATAAATAAATTTCAGCATCAAGAAAAGTGCTGTCTAAACAAAATATCTTACAGAGTATTTAGATTTTTTAGATTCCCCAGCTCTCTTGGAATGGGTCCAGACAACGCATTTGTTCCAAAATCCCTATTGATGATATTGCAATAAAATTAATAACCATCAAGAAATTAATGCAGCACATATCAACAAGGTTGTGAAAATCATATCGAGAAAAACGAAAGGTTTATGGTTCGAACGGTTCCATCGGTCGAACCGTATAGTAATAAAAAAAGGAAAATTTACATACATACCACTTTTTAATATCCTATTTACATATCTAACACCCAAAATTTTAATATTACATGCATACCACCCTATATTATTTTAATATCAAATATACCACTTATATTTCTTTCCTACCACTCATATATTTCATTTCTACCACTCATATTTGATATGAAAATGAACTATGAGTATTATGTATGTAATATTAAAGTTTTAAGTGTTAAATATGTAAATAGAATAGTATAAAATGGTATGTATGTAAATCTCCCATAATACTATTATTAAAAATTAATATAATTAATATAATATACTATAAATATATGAGCATTTAATAATATTAATAAAATTTAAAAAAAATTATTATAAATTTTCAAAACAGTCTAAATAACTCATCATGGCTTCTGGGGGAAAGACTGAAAGGGTATACTTATTAAACTCAATATCCCTTGGCTTAAAGAGATTGCTAATAAATTTATTGTCAAATGGTACCCGCTTACCTCTAACAAAAATATTTATTTTCCATAACATCTTTCCCATTGAAAAAAATTCTCTCACAACATTTATAATTACAATATAGGATTGGTCAAAAAAATGTTCCCAACCCCAATTTATTATCATTTACATAAGTTGCCCACCTAGGTTCTAGAATCATCCTCGGGGATTTATTACATGTTTAGTACTAGTGGTACATAACTTTATTTAGTATCAACAGACATGAATCTACTTTTATCATATGAGGAAGATGCACTCTTCTTGCTGCCATACATCTTCGAATTTATTGCACAATCAACTCAAACAAAAAAATTATAGGAAAAAGAAGAAATCAGAGAGAAAAATATATTAAATAATCAAAAGCTTGAACTTCTATATTAAATCATAATAAGTGATGTGGCGATCAACAGATCAACGTCACGGCACTTAAAAATTTAAACAAAGATAGAGAGTCACATAGATAGAAGCTACAGTAATATGGGATAGGTGGAATTATGGAAAATACATTAGGAAATAATGCACCAATGTTTTACTGGGAAACAATAGAAACGCTTGACAAGTACAAGTACTACATCGCTTACAAAGATAAATGTTGTCGCACTTTAACTTACATAATAATTTTTTTGGTCAAACACTAGGGCACTGTAAATAACATTACATATTTCAATAAAGTTCCATAATGTAAAATTTATGAAAGTACTTTTTATTTGACTACACCACGATTATCACCATAAAGATAATAGATTAATGCTACAACACATGAGATAGTTGCACTGGAGTGCTCGATAATGAAAATAAGTGTTGTAGCATTTAGTAATATAGTGCTATAGTGGTGTAATTAAGAAAATTTTCTCGAGGCTTCAGCATTGCAACATTATTTCTTAATTGTGTGGTGTTTGTCATGCAAACGCTATGGTGCTTTAAGAGTTAACATAGCACCACCAATTTAATTTGTAGCACAATAGATTTTTCTCAAGAATATTTTCATAAATTTGTACTAACTAATATTAATGTGTTTGTAAACAAAACACAATACACTTATAACATAAATAACAAAATAGAACAAAATAAAAAATATAAAATTATAGAATAGAACTTCGTTGCCTCAGAATATAATTTTAAATTTATAATCTTCAACCAAACTTTCCTAGATAGGTTAGTTTAACAATAATGAATTACCACTACTACTTAGTTGATATCCACCATCCTATTTTACTTTCCTCTGGATTAATTTTAGTATTACTAGATAAAGTTCCAACACGTGTACTACTAAAAAAAAAATTACAAGTACTCCTAATTAATATTCTAATTTTTAATTGAAGTAGCATAACATTATAACTGGGTTCCAAATTTTTTTTTTTTTTTTTTTAAAGGTGACTCAGCTGACTTGTAACACTTCGGTATTGACTTCGCTATCTCGCAACATCATGGCGTTAAACCTCAGAGTTTAGGCTCATAGCGATGTGGCACTAGAACAACAACACTACAACGTTGTGCTCTCTGTCTTAGAAGGGTTCCACGACATTGTAGTGCTCTAAAAATAAAAATAAAAATTGTCTCAAAGGGGATATATTGAAACATTGTTTCTTAATATTTTCCTCTTTGAGTATGAATTCATCTCTTCATTTCTTCATTCATCCCTTCATTTCTTCATTTCATACACCAGATTGAGAAATGGATGAGTTTTAACAAATTTTTTCGCAAGTTCTTATTCTTGTTGCGGGCTAAAATATTCACGATGGTAGAGTGAGTGGGTTTTTCATCTTAGCGATGCACGAATATCCAGCACACAAACATGTGATCTAAGATAGATAGAGAGAGCAATAAAACACCAGATTTTATTTTAATGTGGTAAACCCGAAGAGGGAAAAACCACGGAGTCTATCCCAAGTGAAAATATTATACTAAATGTGAGTGAATTACGTACAATGGGTTGATATCTCCCTTCAATTAGAGATGGTGGGATTATAATAGTTTGGAGAGTTTGGTGAAAAGTCCCAGCAGCGGTCGGGCAGAAGTTTGAGGGCATCGAGGCGGAAGTCCGAAGAATATGCGATGATCAGATAATGGTCGGACGTGAGTCCAACGGCCCGATGGTGGTCCGACCATGGTCAAGTGGAAGTCCGATGGTGGTTAGGTGGAAGTTCGGTGGCTGTCCGGCGGTGGCCAACAGTCGGGCGGTGGTCCGATGATGGTCTATGGATATCCGGTGGTGGTCGGCAGTAGGGTGCAAATTTGGCGGCAGTCGGTGATGGGGTGGTGGTTTGAAAATGGGTTGGCGAAAGTCTAACGGTGGTCGACGGCCGGGTTGAAGTCTGGTGGCTATCTGCGACAGGGAGGTTTTTTTCACCGATGGTTTTATGGTGGTTTATACCGCCGGTTATTTAACGGCGGTTTAGGCGTCAGCTACTGCCAGTGTTTGTACCGGCGGTCACAACCAAAGGAATTGCTGGCGGTGAGTCGAATCTAATACCTCCACTTTTCTTACCGGGTCATCAGAAGGCCTCCGTTTAATGTGACAAAACCATGTAAAGCGACTCTCTTTAATTTATCTTCCACTGGAGCTACTCCAACCTTATCTCGTATATGCTCACTTAAAGCCACTCATCCACCTAAGCAACCTCATCTCTGTAACACTTAACTTAGTATTATGCTTCTCTTTTATTGACCAAGATTCGACACCATAAAGCATTGCAGATCTCACCACCATCTTATAGAATTTTCCCTAAAGTTTGAGGGGGACTTTTCTATCACACAACAAGCCCGATTCATTCCTCCATTTCAACCATCCAACTTAAATTGTGCAGATAATATCCCCTTCTATTTCACCATCACTCTAAACAAAAGATCCAAGATATCTAAAACGTGTACTTTTATTAATTTTTTGATCGCCCAAAGTCACAAACCGCTCACTAGGTTTATTGCTACTAAATTACACCCCATATATTCAGTTTTAGAACTACTCAAGCGAAAACCTTTAGACTCTATAGTTGACCTCTATAATTCGAGTTTAACTTCAACTTCCTCTCTAGTCTTATCAACATGTATAATATCATCAACAAAAAGCATACAACTAGGTACATCCTCTCGCAAAGGTCTACTTAGAAAATCCATGACTAAAGCAAAAAAATATTGGCTACATCCTCTCGCAAATGTCTAGGGAGAATATCCATGACTAAAGCAAAAGGATATTGACTTAAGACTGATCCTTGATGTAATCTAACCCAAATAACAAAAATCAACAAGTAAAATATCATCAACAAAAAGCATACAACATGGTACATCCTCTCACAAATGTCTAGTGAGAACATCCATGACTAAAATAAAAAGATATGGGCTTAGACCTGTTCCTTGATGTAAACCAACTGTAATAACAAAAATCATAAAAAATAAATAAATAAATAAAAACGATCACCTCGGAGGCGGCGTCGCACACGGGAGTTGGGAGAGCACTTCCGCCTTGGAGTGGGGAGTTTGTCAGCGGCAGGAGGGACCTCGTCTGTGGCCGGAGACAACTCGTCGGCGGCCTAAATGATTTTTGTCGCGCGAGAGGGCAGGCGGAGGAGAGGGGGCGAGCGCAGCCGAAGAAAGAGAGCACTAGATGGAATGAAATTGGAGGCTCGGGATGGTTAATTTTAGGGCTTTTACCGGCGGCTCAAAATGCCGGTAATAAAATTACATAACACCAGCGGTGTTAGCAGCCGGTATAGCGCCGGTAAGTTTTACGGCCGACGGTTTACCCGGCGGTTTTGTGACCGCCGCTATTTCCGGCGGCATAGACTTGTATAACAGCCAGTTCGGCCGCCGGTATTAATTAACCGCCTTTAGTACCGGCGGCTGGACAACCGTCGGTCCAGACCGCCGATAATCGATGAATTTCCTGTAGTTATAGAAAGTTAGGTGAAAGTTTGGTGTTAGTTGGTGGCAAGCATGAGTCCAGTGAAGGATGGTGTAAGGATGAAAGCCCGGCATGGGTTGGTGGCCGAGCGGAAGTCTGGCACCGGTCGGCGGTTCGACAGTGGTCGAGGAGGAGCTTGGTGGCAAGATTCTATTTATATTTTTTTATAGAGTGACATGACTTGTAAATAAGAAGATCAAGGACATGTTGGGACTATTTTGGATGGATAGTTAATATTGATTCATTTGATCATGCACATTTTATTTAGCACTTGAGTGCCTCAATATTGTTAGAATTCGACAATCTTGGGCTCGTTAGATTCGTCTCGTCGAGCCTCTTGATTCTATTATAAGCATGCCACATTTGGAAATCATTTATCCATATTATGCTTTGAACCATACAAACGTGCTTCGGGCCC